ATTCTAATCTGATATTGAAAGTGAACGAAAGATTCAAAACAACAATAGCAACAACAACAACAACAATAATAACAACAACAACAACAACAACAACAACAACAACAACAACAACAATACGAAGAAGAAGAAGAAAAAAAGAAACAAACGTAACAAAACAGAATAAAGAAAGTAAATGGGCGACTTTACAAGGTTGTTTTTTTCTCATAAAAGCACTAATATCAAACAACACAAACCGTTTATAACAAACGCATTGACCCAACAGCCCCTAACGAGATTTCTTGACCACCACTATCATTATTTTGGCATGGAACATTAACCACTACTATCTTCGCCTCCTTCCCCCACCACCCCCAAATCCCCTACCTTCTCCCGCACACTTATTTTTTTTTCTTCCTCAACCCACCGCCTTCTCCCCTTCGGTACCATATCATTATTCGTTGCCGCTACTTAACTACAAAACAACGACGGAAAAGTAAAAGATCATTGACACTGACGTGTAGAAAATAAACAACACCCATTCTTCTCTTAAGTACATTCCATTTTCAGACCACGCCTTAATTGTAGTTGAACGTCGTTGTTGCCTTGAAATGCCGGGTCTTGGAGGGAAATCTTAGACATGTTTGACGCAGTGCATTTAGTTCGATGTCGATAACCTCAATAGGCTACCCTTCACCGTTAACCTCCCCGTTCCCCTTTCCCCTCCTCAAACCCGCTTCCTTCTACGGTACTCTACCCCACACATCCCCTCCCCTCCTATCTTTCTCCCTCACCCTCTCTCCATGATGTATTCCTTCCCTCTCCCCCCTGTCATCCCCTCCCTCCCTCTTATTTTTTTAAAACTACAGAGCAGCTACATTCGAATGAATGTGTTGTTGTTTTCAGTAGACAAAATATGTAGTTCGATGCTCGCCCCAATCCCTCCACTTCCTAAATTACACTACCTCACTCCCACCAATTACACCCTCACACCCTTCATACACACCATCGCCACTCCCAGCTTCTCCATATCCCCGTCCCTCCAACAAACAAGCAAACAAACGAACAAACAATCAAATAAACAAACAGACAAACAAACACATACACATATATACACACACACACACAAACAAACACAATAACCCTGTCTCCTCTAATACGATATGTCAAAGTTAACCCTTCTCCAAAGCTGGATTCTGACAAAGGTGAAGATGTTTTCATGAAAATTAACCCCGCCC